GAACCTGGAAGGTGATCTGTGTCTCCAGCTGAAACTGGCGATGCTGCCATTAATGCGCTGTTGATAAAATGGTGATAAAAGATCTACACCGAGTGTTGAAAATATAACGGATATGCAACACTGTTGAAAATAAGATGAGAGATTAGTGCTGCAGAAATTCATTAATCTGGTGCTTTAGCCCACAGGGCGGTAAAATAAATATTTTAATTTGAGTTCATTATTTTAATGCCGAGTGTGCTCTCAATGCTGCTGTGTATTTCTAACATGACTGATACACATTAAAGCTCTGAAACTTTAAACTGGATACATATAAACATTAAGTGTTACTGTCCCACAGCCTGACAGGAGACGTGGAGATGGCTTTAGTTTGTTGGGAAATCAAAAGTGAAAATGATTTTACTCAGTGAGATTCTTGGCATGTTTTCTGTTTTCTAGTAGCTGCAATCCCAGAAGAGTGAAAGAGACTCAGCAGCAAATTGGCAACAAGTATAGACATCTATACACTTCCTGCACCACCAGATTAAAACACTGGATGTTTACGGATTGGTGGTTTTAGTTACACATATAAAATGCATTCCTCCAGCAGAGAATCTATAATACGCTTCAAAAAGCAGAAGCAGTGAAAACGTGGCGCTCCCGGCGGATTTTAAACAGATTAGTTACCATGGTGGTTATCATAAGTTACCATGGTGACTTAGCCAAGTAAAATGACAGCCACTTTCGTGAGAGAGAAAACTCTGACTTTAAGCTCGACATAGCCCGATAACCCACTGATCTCGCTTCACTACGGGAACCTCTGGAAATGTGGCTTGAATCACTTAAGCAAATTAAGCCTTCTGCAGCTCCAGAGCTATTTATTCCTTATTTAATGTTCTGTGCTGCCAGCAGCTTGGACAGAAAACACCAAATCGGGGCCCGCCTTCAAACTGAGTCTTGCCTAGAATTTCTGGGAAACGAAAGACACAAAACCGGAACAGGTTTCTTCCTGGAACACAACTATGACAGTCCATACGTTCCTATAAAGACTGGCGTATGCGCTTGCGTAACACGGCTGAACCTCTTTTTTTTTTAAAGAGGAAAAAAAAAAGCGACGAACCAATGGCACCACGAAAATAACCTGGGTAGTGCTGCATCGTCTGCTAAACATACAGTGCATGATCAAATGCCCGAAGCAAAGATGATTTTGACCAGATCTTCATTTCCTTTCAAACAAAGACGCGGGTATAAATAACACCACTCACAAGGCCAGTTTACGCCGCACTGACTGCATGCCTGCTTGCCTGGCCAGCTGCTGTAGCGTATGGAAAAGAAATGGCAGTGGCCTAGCCGTGTCATCGTATTGTAGCCTCGTATTTGACAGCAGACAAAATCATCCCAAACGGACCTACCTTATGACGTTCATTAAGATATCTGGCGTCTCCCCCTCTCTCAGCTCGTTATGGTTTCTGGACTCGCCTCCATAAGCGCTGAGCAAACGGCACAGCCGTGTCGAATCATTTTCTTGATAAACAGGACAGACCGCCTCCTGCTCCGCGCACACACTAGCTATTTGTGGGGGGTGCGAAGGGGCTGGAGCTCTGTGCCTGTGCTGTGTTTACCGAGAATTCCCACCGACACCAAACGCGCATAATGCAGAGGTGCAGATCGTGCAGCTCGACGCTCGATTACAGAAATGATGGAGGGGGCGGTGTTGGTGAGCGACTTCTCTAACCAGCTCCCTCTCCCCGTCTCTCTCTATATCTCTCCCTCGTTCCTATAGGGCTCAAATTGCAGCTGAATTCTTAAAGAAACACACATGCTCACTAACCACCACAGTAGTCTGTCCAGAAACACTCACTGGATCTATTTATAGCCCGGGTTCGTTGAACTGATACAGACAAGATAACCAGCAAAGCGAAACTGCAGGCATGGCCTGCTGGTCTTTACTGGCTGCAGAGCTTCCGTATCGAATAATCTGAGCGTGCCATGGGAGTATTTGTCACAAATTACTGCAGATTAAAATCACAGCAGATAATTAGATAATGCACAACTGCAATTCACCATTTTACTCAAGTCACTCGTGCCTGCAGATGCCAGCTATACGCCCATAAACAGAGGGGCCGATGACAGCTAAAATGGCCCGTGATTGCAAGGGTAAACTGAACGAGGAAGTCTGGCTGTCTGCAGCCTAGAATCTAGATCGCTGCGAGCTGATTTGCAGATCAAATGGTCTAAGGCAGAGATCCCGAGAGCTACTGTCCTGCAGATTTTAGATGCATCCCCAGTCCAACACAGCTGAATCAAGTGGTTGAATTATCTCTTCAGGGTGCCATCAAGTTTGGCAAAGGCCAGGTTACACGCCATTCATTTGATTCAGGTGTTTCGAAACAAGGATGCATCCAAAAGCTGCAGGACAGTAGCTCTCCTCTCGAGTACTGGAGTTGGAGACCCCTGGTCTAAGGTGTCACTGTTATATGCACTGCACCATTACACCAGATAAGAATTGGGCTTTCCACATTTCATCGGTTTGAACATACACCTCTTAAACTCATCAGTCCTACCGAAAGGCATTTAAAGGCCGATTAAGCGAAGGTTCACAGAAGTTTCCGGTTACAGCACGTTTAACAGGATCGTCAAGCATCTGTGTGTAGGCAGAGTACAAATCCATCGCTAATGTAAAGGTATTTCTTGGCTCTTGTTTGTCAAGGGCTGCCATGTTGGATCTCCGGGCTATGATAAACCCCCATTTTAATAACCTGATCAGGAACAGTTATTACAAGACACGTTGTACAATGATTAACCTGCCGAGTTTAGCTCGTAAAAGTTTGGTCTGTACCGACAGCGGAAGCCTTGTCGAGAAGGAGCCGATGACCGGGCTTTGTGTGGTGCACCTGTGCGATCAGGACTGGTGGAACACCGCCTTCGGACCAAACACTCAAAGCTGCTCAGTCAGGAGGTATAAATAGGGCACTGTCTACAGCTAGATACTGCTAGTTAAAAATATTTTAAGATTTTAGTGCAGGACTCAAAGAAGTGTGAGATAGTCTGACACATTTTTACCACCTACAAAGTGACTCCTTTCACAGCCGCATTGGCTCATGGGTAGGCTGTGCAGTACACCTTAACCCTTAACCCTTTATTGACCGGCCCTTCAAATTTACCTGTAAAATGGGCCCGCCGGTGGGCCCATGGTCAATAAATAGATAAAAGTACACACGGCACCCAGATTTCATGGGCTGCCTGATCTGAAATCACAAAGATATGATGATAGTCTATATGTGTAACAGTTTTGCGATCAATAGATATTACAGGTTGTTGT